GAAAAGAAATATCTAGGTTGGGCACAGTGCCTCTTGCCTGTAATCCTAGCACTTTGTGAGGCTAAGGCAGAAGGAGCACTTGAGGTCAGGAGGAAGAGACCAGCCTAAGGAAGACGATGACCTTGTTTCTAAATAAATAATTAGCCAGGCACCATGGTGTGTGCCTATGGTCCCAACTACTCAGGAAGCTGAGGTAGGAGGACCACATGAACCCAGGAAGGAGCCTGAAGATGCTCTGAGCTATGATGGTACCACTACCTTCTACTCTGGGAGACAGAGCAAGAAAACCTTGTCTCAAAAAAACACCTCCTCCCCCCCCCCCAAAAAAAACAAAGTTAAAATCAATAACCTAAGTTTCCACCTAAAGAACCCGAAGTAAGCAAAAGAAATAAAAACAGGAAATAGGCTCAGCCCTGCACAATGGTTATGGCACCAGCCACATACACTGAAGGCAGAGGGTTCAATCCTGGCCCAGGCCAGCTAAATAACTGCAACAAAAAAACAGATGGGTGTTGTAGCAGGCACTTATAGTCCCACCTATGTGGGAGGCTGAGGAAAAAGAATCACTTAAGCCCAAGAGTTTGAGGTTGCTGTGAGTTGTGATGCCACGGTACTCTACCAAGAGCGACATAGTGAGACTTTGTCTTAAAACAAACAAACAAACAAACAAAAACAACAGGAAATTGGTGGCACCATAGCTCAGTGGGTAGGACGCCAGCCACATACACCCAGGCTGGCAGGTTCGAACCCAGCCTGGGCCAGCTAACAATAATGACTACTGCAACAAAAAAAATAGCTAGGTGTTGTGACAGGCACCTGTAGTCCTAGCTACTTGGGAGGTAGAGGCAAGAGAATTGCTTAAGTCCAAGAATTTGAGGTTGCTGTGAGCTGTGATGCCACAGCACTCTAGCAGTCTACCCAGGATGACAGCTTGAGACTCTGTCTCAAAAAGAAAAAGAAAAGGAAAAAAAACAGGAAATCAATAGACAAAATGAAGGAAAACAAAAGCATATTCTTTGAAAAGATCAATAAAATTAGTGAACCTGTAGCCAGGCTAAGAAAAAAAGAGAGAGGGCTCCGCGCCTGTGGTTCAAGTGGCTAAGGCGCCAGCCACATACACCTAAGGTGGCGGGTTTGAATCCAGCCTGGGCCC